GGGGTGGCACAAGAAGTTCACGGGGCCAGAACTTTCTACAAAAAGGCCCCAGACACACACCCGATGCAGGGCCGGGATGAATCTTTTTTTAGGGGATAAAAAATTTGTTCTCCAATGGCCGATCGCGTGATGGTGCGAAGCAGTTGCGTGACCAACCCCTCCTGTCTCTCCCCCCCAGCCGTCTGAACTCCGCCTCTCTTTTTTTTTTTTTTTTGGTGTTTTGACAGCAAACAACTGTTACGTTGCAAGAAACTTTTACAGGCGGCTACATCATAGACTGCTGACGGGGCTAACAACGGCATCTAACAGTTTGGCAACTTTTTTGACGGGTTGAAGGGTGTCAGTTGTCTTTCTTTCGCCATCTGGATATCCTGTATCTACTTCATCACATCAATCTCCATTCACAGTACTTGAGTTGTCCGACTACACCCAATAGATCTGGATCTTGGATAGATATTCAGATCTGTAAAGGCTGCCCACCGGGGGAAACAGAGTGAGTTGGAGTCAGTTTTCAGAGTGAAAAGATGTTTTTGGAAGCTATCCCTTGTTTAACTTTCTAACCTTCTATCCATTACCCGTCTTATGAACAAAACAGTAAACTATGCCAACAGTGTTTGCTGGTCGTAGCAGCAGCTCCATGGCTTCGTCTACACCATCATCATCAACTTCAACAAACCGTCAACAACAATCTCCATCCCGGTCGCAAACTCCAAATGAAACAACAACTCGCAACGACCCTCTCCATCATCTAAACCTCGACGCACCAACATTCCCACGACGAAACCGTCATAATACAACATCCCCAACTCTACAAAGTGCACCAACAACAACAAGTCCATGGGACCGTCAAACTCCCAATCTGTATGATGATTTCGATGATGAAGCACCACCATCCTATGCTTCATTACACCCACAACAAACAACAACAACAGCAGCAGCAGCATCAACACAATCGCAATCAACACATTACCAACACCAACATCAAACACTCCATTATAGAAGTTTATCAGGTTCAACCATGCTTCCATCATCATCTAGATCAAGACCACCGTTGGTTCCAATAGTCCATTCACATTCAACAAATCCTTCATCTTCCTCAAACCCACAACAAGAAACTTCAACAGTTCCTTCACCAACTCCTTTTATTGTTAACACTCCTACATCACCACATCCTTCATCAACATCACAGCAACAACAACAACATGCAATCACCAAATCATTATCAATAACTCCATTATCAAGATGTTTGAATCTGTTGCATGGATTACCTGGCGTTACTTCAACCATCTCAATAAAGGGAACCATCAAGCTGTCGTTAATCAGAGGGTTGGAAAGGACGAAATACCGTTTTGGAATGGTCTTTGTGAGATTGGTTGGAGTTGAAAGGGTTCATTTAAATGCTAATGTTGGGAGGGGGGATCGAGAGTTTGGATTGGGGGATGTTGCCGGGTGGTGTTGCTGTTTCGGTGAAAGTCAGGAAGCTTCAACAGAGGAGGAGGATGAATTGTTGTTGATGATGGGGGTGAATGGTGTTTCGGGTGGTCATCGGAATGCAATGGCAATGCCGCAAACAGCGGGAACTCCTTCTATGTTTGGCGACGATGAGGATACGGATGATGTTGGGTTTTTTGAGGTGGGGTCGCCGTTTAGATGGAGGTATGGGTCTAGCAGTAGTACTTTTGGTAATGGGTCCAGTAGGAGGTCCATAAGGTCGGGACTGACAAATTCGACGAATGTTGGGAGCAGCGGGTTGAGATTTCATGGTCATCAGGGACATTCGCAGGCTTTGACTCCACCGCCACCAGCTATGAATGCTAGGGTTGGTGGTGTTGGTGGTGTTGCACCGAGACGGAGCTCGTCGATGCCAAGTCCTTATTTGGGATATGCTGCTGCTTCTGGGGATAATAGGTATTGTGCTTGTGGGCATTTGCAGAGTGGGAAGGGTGGTAGTAATAGTACAACTAGTGGTAATGGTGGGGTATTGAAAAGTTCACCTGTTTTGGATGCCACCGGTTGTGTTTCTGCAAGTGGTTTATCTGCGGTTGTGTTGGATAAGAGGGTTTTGGTGAAAAAGTGGAGTGGTAGTGGTGGTGGTGGTGGTGAGGCAGACGATGAATTGTTGCGTGCTGGTGATCACGAGTTTGAATTTAGCATTGATGGGTTACCTAGTGATCTTGCTGGGACTTTTCATGCTGAACATGCTAGTAGGAGGTATGTTTTGGAGGTTTTGTTTGTTGTGGATCCTGTTGTTGTTGCTTCTTCTGGGACAAAGGTGCCAGCTTCTCCGACAAGAGGTGGGAAACAACCTGTGACCCCTTCTTCGACAACACATTTGGAATTGCATCGACATCATTATCGACTGTCGGCTTATACGTCGGTTGAGGTGCCAATTCCACGGATTCATCCTACGCTGGTTCGACCTGTTGTTGAAGAGAGACGGGGGAGGGAAGTTGCGCCGATAGGACATCCCGGAGCTAAGGAGGGGTATTTTACATATGTGCCTGATAGAGTCGCCGCGGAAGGTAATGTCGTTCAGAGTCCGTTGTTGGTTGGGCTTTCGCCTGCTGCTGAAGGTCAGCAGAGTGTTTGGATGGGTGGTGAATTAGCTAGTGAGAGTCATGGAGGAAAAGGTAAATTGGTTGGTGTTGTTGATGATCCTAACTCGAATCCGGATGATTCAGATGAGTTTAAGACTTCGCCGCAGTCGATGGTTGGACTTGGGATTGATACGAGTCCTGATAATTATGCTGCTAATACCCCACCTTCACCAAATTTGGCGTCTTCATCTACGATGGCAACACCGAATCTTGTTCCTTTACCGTCACCTGCGACACCACCTGCAACTGCGGCTGCTACTACGCCAAATGAAATGCAAGAACGAGAGGTGGATATGACTGATCGGTATCCACCTGTTGTTATTTCAAATCATGGAAGTACCGATCCCGTCAGGTTTACTGCGATATTGACATCACCCTCTGTCAAGTTTGGAACGCGGTTACCGATTTTGTTGCATCTTTCACATGTTGCTAGTAAATTCAAGGTTTTGGGGATTGATGTTGTGCTTGTGCAGGTTTTTGAGGTTTTTGGGGGTAGTCATGTTGTTGGGGGTAATTCTGTTAGTGGTGGTGCTAGTGGTGGGTTGATTGGGTTGGGGGTTTCAGGGGCCGGGTTGAGTGGGTTTATGAAGGCCAGTGGGAATGCGGGGAGTAGTAATACAGGTGGGGGATTGGCTTCTGCATCGGTGGTGTCGTTGGCGTCGATGGTTTCTTCGAATATTAGTGGGATGAGTGGTGGTAGTACCTATAGTGGTTTTGTTGGAGTGAAGAGGTACGAGACTGTACTTGGGTCCATGACGGATTTGCAAAAGACGACGGGGGATTTTTTCAAAAAGACTTTAAAGGTGGGTTGTAGAGAGACTTGGGATGCTGTTGCTACGCCTGCTCCGTTTACTGGACAACAAGGGGTTAATGCCGACGGGATGATGGAGAATGGGCAACCGTTTTTAGCTGGTACTGCGCGAATTTCGTTGCGTCATGAGATTCGTGGGACTTGGATTGTGCAGGTTCAGTCTGGTGTTGGTGTTGGTGGGCATCATCATGGTGGGGATGTTGCGAGTGGTGGTGCTTCTGCTAGTGGTGGCGCTGCTTCGGGATATGTTAGGAGGGAGTTGGAAGCTTTTAGAGTTCCTGTTGTTGTTCATGGGTTGAGTGATGAGGCTTTGGGGATTGTTGGGGGGCTGGCGGGGTGTAGTACTGGTAGTGTTGGTAGTACTGGTGGTGGTAGTGTTGGCAGTGTTGGAGTTGAGGAGGAGGTTTGGAGGGAGAGGTTGCAGAGGATTCGGTTTCGGGTGAAGAGTGTTGTTTGGTAGTTTATTCTACTTATAATCTTGGGTGCTGTTCTTTTTCTTTTTATCTATATTGCTTTTAATTCGTTTGGTTGGAACTGTACACATTCATTTGAGGATATATCTTATATATGAAGATACATATAGCTTATATTTTTTTCGTAGTCTCGTTTTTTTCTTTCGTTTTTATATATAATATGATATTGTAATGGGAAATAGTTATTGAAAATATGATCTGAAAACTACAGCAAGAATATAATTGCGCTCGTCGCTGTTGAATAGATGAAGTTCGTTACCGAAAAAAGATGAGCGAAGTCGGTAGCGGCATTTTCGTTTCGAGTAAGAAACGAAGTTTGCCCTTTTGAAAGGAAATAGGACTCGCCGGACAAAAACTCCGACACGCAACGACAATCTTTTATATTGTTGATCGGGTATTAACGGGTGACGCCTTGTCGACGACTAGTTACAATTGACTAGCGCTGAAACTACAAAGCAAAGAATGAGTTTACACTGGCCAGGACGCGAAAAAGGTTATAAAGTATTAATTGCGTCCCAAGGTTTATACAAACGACGCGTTTACAAATGGAATCGTTCACTCGTTAGGTTGAGCTGTACTGATTTTATTTCGAGAAATCACGATTATAGTACAAACTACGATGTTGACGATGTATTTTTATACCAGATGACGCGTAAAAGTAGTTGTAAATTCACGCGTTCAAAAATTTTTTGGAGTCAATCTAAAAATAGAAACACAAAAGTGGAAAAACTAGAAGCAACGCGTATACAGACGATATTTTACAAAAACACCGCCAAAACATACAAATAACACATGGAGAATGAATTAACTACTCAATTACACGTAAACGTGGTAGAAAAACTAGTATAAATTGCATGTCCGAAAATTAATTGAAGTGTGGAAAAAAAATGAAATTGAAAACGAGGTAATTCCGTCCCAAAACGGACGAAATGATGGAGTGAACTCCCAGTCCGGGAATTGAACCCGGGTCTCAACCGTTTGGCGATATTTCTATATCGTGACAGGGTCGGATACTAGCCACTATACTAACTGGGAAT